AAAAGGCATTTTATTAAACGACTCAAAGAACAACCAATTCCATAGTGAACCTTTCAATACAGACGATGTGTCAGAAAGCAACAAATGGGGTAATTTTTGAACATCAAAGGAAATGGCTTTGGCTCAAAGAAAAACCATCTTTTCCTAAATTTCTAAAGGGGACTTATACCATGTTAATATGTTGAAGTGCTAATTTATGCCTAAAATCCTAGGCAGCAATGTTGGCTGAAATAAGGTGGAATTCACTTTGCATTTCCCTCCCCATGGTAGCCAAGGCAATTCTCCCTAAATAGAAAATACCTTTTTGCAAGTGATCTTGCAGAGTTTTACTAAAACGTTCTTGATAACGGCTGTCTCACCTTTTTTGCACGTGAAGGCTTGATAGAGGGTCAGACCTGGGCCAGGATGGCATGGCTTCTGAGTAGCCAGTCTCTTAGGCCCTCTGGTGCTCCTGTTGTTGCTGGAGGTAAATTTGAAAGCCTCAGAATGATGTAGAAATGGACAGAAATGTGTGGGCCCCGTGTCAAAAGCTTTAATTCCTAACACAGTGTTTCTCAACCTTGGCAACTTGAAAATGTCCGGACTTCAACTCCCAGAATTCCCCAGCCAGCATTCGCTGGCTGGGGAATTCTGGGAGTTGGAGTCCGGACATCTTCAAGTTGCCAAGGTTGAGAAACACTGTCCTAACACGTATCTGATGCCTGGCAGTGAGTATCACCATGGGTGGAGTTGTTGCTTACACTGAAGCTGCCTTTCCTTTTTTTGAACATCTCTCCATGCTCCCGTCTAAGGAAATAAAAATCCTTTTCTTGAATTGGAGCAACATTCCGACAAAAGCAAGTTTTGCTCTCGCGTAGCTTTCAACACATAGCTGACTGCCAAGCATCTCTGTGCCATTCTGTAGTATCTGTACTTCCTGCATCAGATGCTGTCCAGCTATTACAGATTACAACTCCCGCCTTCTTTGAGAAGCATGTTTATTAAGCCGGGGTGGGGGGAGTATAATCCACTAAATCTGGAAGGCATCAGACTAGGATAAGATGATCTACTTTCCTCTGGCTTCGTACAAGGCGCTGTAATGGAAACCAAAGCGGTGAGGGTGACGGCTCCTTTAAATTAAGCACCATATTTGTGACTGGCAACAGGGACTAGATTGGCCGGGTTGAGTGTCGCACTTCCGGTGCGCCCTGGATGCTGCGACGGCAACACATCCCGGCGTTCTTTGCGCCGCCTCTTTCTTTTTCCGGCCGGCCATTTTCTCTCCCGGGAGGTGAGTTCTCATGCTGGGCCGGCGGCGGAGCTGCATCTGCCGCCATCCGCCCCCTACGCTGCGGAGGCGACCCCCGGGACTCTCGGGCGGCCTCCGGAAGGCCTCGCGGCTGAGCTTCGGAGGGCGAGAAGGGCGCCGTTGCTTGGAGCGAAGGGCTGCTCGACCGGCGGGGCCTCCGACCCCGGGACCCTCCTGCGGGCAAGGAGGCCCCGTCCGTGGAAGCCCGCCGGAGCCAGCGGCCCCGTGGGGAAGCCTCATTGGGACGCCGGCCGGGGCCTCCGAAGGGCCTGTGGGGGAAACGGGGAGGGTCTGCAATGCGGCGCCTCTCCGGGGCTCCAGCGCTTGACTCGGGCCGGGAATTCCCGCAAGAGCCGGGGCTTCAGCCAGGCTCCCCGGGCATCGGCAGCCGCGAAGGGCGCGAAGCTCCTGGGCTTCAACGCCTGCGGAGTCTTAATTTCAGCCGCTGCTGCCGCCCCTGGAAACCAGTCGACGCTGCCGGCGTTGGTCCCGCGCAAAGGACGGGATGGGAAACGCTTTTCTTAGCGCCGGGACGGGAGCGATGCGGCTGCGAGCGCTTAGATAGCAATAGTAATAGCAGTTAGACTTATATACCGCTTCATAGGGCTTTCAGCCCTCTCTAAGTGGTTTACAGAGTCAGCATATCGCCCCCAACAACAATCCG